AATATTGTATGTATCAGCCCAGAGGTGGGCCAGAACAAACGAAATACAGTCGAACTTCCATTAAGCGAATCTCAAGGGGAATTCGTAGAATATTTTGCATTTTTGCAGAAAGTATAGAAAAGTTCGTTGTACGGCAGTTAGTAGTAGAGAATTTCGACTTGACTGTATACAAAAAATATCGTATTAATGATAAGGATAGGTATATTTGGGTTTCAACGTGATAACTTCCTCCATATACCTTATACAAGCCAGGATTTGGGGCTTGATTAACATACGATTTGCGACCCTGTAGACCGGAGCATGATAGAAGAGAACCTCCTGCCTACAGGCAATCAGGCGAGGAACCGTTGCATGTGGGGTTCTTTTACATAGTACATTCCTCTATTCCCCTATTCCTCTACACATTTCAAGCTCTGAAATGACGCTGATGCTGCTAACAGAACAGAATGCGGATAACCAATTAAAGCAAGGAACATCACTAATTCTCTCGGGTTTCACATACGTCTGTCACTCCGCACTCCTCCCACACATTCACGTATTAGGTGGACTTTGGACTGAGCTTCGGGCACTTGCGCTGCGTTCGATTCTCTTTTTCGCAGACAGCCAGAGCGGCGCGCCGCTTCGGGTTCGCAGCAAATGTGTGTGTGTGTGTGTGTGTATTGTGTGTATTGTATGTGCATTGATAAAACGTCAGCAGTGTGTGGTGTGGAACATGTCGGACCATAATCCACATTGTGGATGCACGAGCCCGCTAGCTGCGCTGCAAATCAGAATCTAAAACAGGCAGGGAAACGCTTTAGGCTTTCAGCTACCAAGACAGGCGTCCATCTTCCATCAATCAATCAATCACCAGCAGTACGCCTGCCAGCAAGCAAATCAGCCAAGCAACATAATTAGTCAGAAGCTGATGGCTTATTTAGAGCCAGAGCCTTGCGAAATTATCTCTTCCATTCGGCTATTTAAAAAGTGTGTCATCACCCACACCAGAGCCAAAGACAGGAAGCGCTCACTTTAAGAGAAAGAGAGACAGAGAGAGGGGAAGGGAGAGAGAGTGCCCAAGCTTTTGTGAGCGTCTAACAAACCAAATAACTGCTTAATTTGTTTTTTCCGTCTAATCCGCCTTTTAATAACATCTCTGTCTCTCTCTCGCTCTGGCGCTCTCTTTGTCCCTCGTTTACGCCTGCCTCTCTGCTTTGTTAACTCTCCCTCACCTTTGCTGTTTGCTCGCTCGCACAGGAGTCAAAGAGAGAGAGAGAGAGCAAACAAAAGAGCTGCTGCTTTTGTTGTTGTTTTTCTCAGTTTGTTGACTTTAATAGACCGCCAGGCCAAAGGGGGTTAAAAAGAGACCCCAAAAACTGACACCGGCTGGTCGCTCATATGCGGTTGAACGCCCAGGAAGGAAGCACAGCAGAGGCTTAGACAGAGAGAGAGGGAGAGAGAGAGAGAGAGACCCGTTGAGGCAGCAGAAATTATTTGCCTACTCTCGATGCACTGCCAAAGGGTATGACGAGCTTTTAGAACCGAAATTCATGGGAAGGACACTGACAGAGCAGAATAGGAGCTGCTAAAGGACATGTGCCTTCCTACTGATTCAAATAAAGATATGTAGTCGTAAATGATGCCCCAAAGTCCTGGTTTTTCACTAAGTTTACGGCAAACTAGGATCACGTTGGATCTGCCAGGGTATCTATGGTTTCGACCCCAAGAACTGGTTGACATTTCCTTTTCTTGTTAGGCTCTCTATGGGTGTGCGTGTGGCAAGAGGGTTAAAAGCTTGTTCCGGGCTTGTTTATGCCTAAATCAATTTGCTGCATGAATGGATGTTAAGTGTAGGCCCAAAATGGAAAAGGATTCTTCCACACACACAGACAGTCCCTTCTCCGTCTACTTTTCATAGTCATACGTGTCCCAGAATCCCAGAAGCAATGATTATTAGCTGCCCCTGCCCCCAGCCACCCAAAAACTGGGACATGAGTGGCGTAGACAAGAAGGTGGAGGGAAGGAAAAAGGGAAATTAATAAAAACAAAACAAATTATAAAGGAATTTGCCTCCGAGGTCCATGCAGAAGCCTGGAATTCATGTTCCCTAGAAATATGTGGCATCCACAAGCATTTCGTAGAGAGATGCACACACATTAGTGGGGGACCGGGAGCATTCTTGGCCATCTGCATATACGGAATGTGGGTCAAAGGAGAAGCCCAGAATTCATGTGGCTTGCTGCACGTGCCGCACCTCAGCAGGTGGCCCTGCCTCAGCCGCTGCCTCTGCCTCCGCCCCCCTCATGCCACATCTGTCCTTCCTTCCGTCTGTCTGTCTGTCTGTCTTTTTGTGTGCGTGTCGATGCCCACAAATCATTATTTTAATCGCGAATCATAAATCAAATGCAAGCCAAAGGGGAAATGGTAAAAAAGAATAGTGTTGCACATAGAGCGGGGCGTGTGTGGCATGACTTTTGCCAGCGAGAACGTGGAGGTGGCGGTGGACACTGATTCGAAATCTATTCATAAAGAATTACCCCCAATAGAGCGGAATAAGGCGAATCAAAACCTTTTGTTGGGCGAAACAGAAAGGATATTTGAAGGACTGCCGAACCCTGTCGATTCCTGCTTAATATTTAAACGTTTTCTATGGACTTTTCACAATGGTATTTAAAAGGAACTTCCTTTGGTCTAAAAATAAAAATAACCATAGGTTTTTGGTGTCTTTCAGGACTTGACCTTTGGCAAAGTTTAAGGGAAACTCAGGATACTTTAAGGGGTTCTTCCCCTTCCCATCCCCATTCCCATCGATAGTATGTATATAATGTATCCTTTTTTTCGAAATATTTCAACGATTGAATGGCATCTCAAAGAAGTTTCTGTGAATTCTAGTTCCCAGTGAAAGGTGTTCCATTTTCTTGGCTAAATATCATAAATCTTGGCCTGGCCTGGCCTACTCCTCCACCGCCCCCTATCGCCCTATAGCCCTTTGTTCTGCTCTGTTGAATCTCTGTTGAACTCGATCGAAAACCAATTAAGGAAGCCAGCATTCAGCAGCTGTTCCAGCACTTCTTGGCCCAATAATAATAAATTGAGAGTTGGCCATGAAAAGGGAGTGTTGGGGGGGGGGCGGGGGAGGAAGCGAGGCGGGTAGGAGTGCGTGCATGCATGTCCTTTGTTGGCCATGTCTTGGTCTGTTAGTTAATTGCCTCATGACCAGGGAAAATATTTGTGTTTAATCTGGTAACATGCGAACACTGTTTGCGCCTGCCCCCAGCCCCCTGCCCCCTGCCTTTCGTCCTTCTGCTGTTTAATGTAACTGTAAATTGATTATAGCCCCAAAAGAGCAGAGGCGGTGGCGGAGGCGGAAGGGGCGGCTCTCTGACATGTATTTCAAGCTGCAATCTGCAGCGAACTCTCCTCCTGGCTCCCCACTGGCATTGGGGCTGCCGTTGCTGCTGCGGTTTTTGTCCATCCGCGAAATGACAGGCAGGAGGACATTTTCGTGTCGTCGGTCGGTCGTCAGCTCTCTCTCCCCCCCTCTCTCTCTTCGCCAAAAGATTTGCCACTAACGCGAAAAACGAGATGCCTCCCGATGCTCCCACTCTCCATTTCTCTCACACACACACACACACACACACACACACACACTCTGTCCGTGTGTCAATTTAAGTGTTGAAAAGTGGTCTCCAGTGGTGGCGGTTTAGTGTGCTTTTCGCGAGTCTCCTCATCCCAGTCCTCCTTCAACTTTGGTCTTTAACCCCGTCAGCCTTCGGCATCGCCTCTCCTCTACTTCGTACTCTTCTACTCCTTTTACTCGTTTTCCATTGAGAAACGAGAGACAATTCGCTCTCAGCTAGACGTTGTTTGTCGCTTTGCGTCGAGTGGATACCCTGTAGTGTCAGAGAACAGGAGCATATCGGTATAAAGGTAACCTTCAGTGCTTCTTCACCTCCAGGATACTAATATATTCCATAAAAACCTTCAATCTGTAGATATTCCTGTAAGAAGAGATCCTGTATGAAATATATAGATGATCTCCTCATAAATATCGAGTAATCGATACCCTGTAGTGTCAGAGAACAGGAGCATATTGGCTCCTTCACCTCCAGGATACTAAAATATTCCATAAAAATCTTCCATCTGTAGATATTCCTGTAAGATGAGATCCTGTATGAAATATATAGATGATCTCCTCATAAATATCGAGTAATCGATACCCTGTAGTGTCAGAGAACAGGAGCATATCGGTATAAAGGTAACCTTCAGTGCTTCTTCACCTCCAAGATACTAAAATATTCTATAAAAATCTTCAATCTGTAGATATTCCTCTAAGAATAGATCCTGCATGAAATATATCGAGTAATCCCATTCCAAAATTATGATTATTACCGTAAATACAGCGATTCCTTGTCGTTTACAGGGTATCTGCCAGTGGACACTTTTCCCAAGTATTTAAGGATATGAAATCACACAACTTTGTTTGTGTATCTGTTGTATCTGGTAGATACATTTTGTAAGCAAATGCAAAGACAGTCTGTGCAGAAAGTATGCCACCCACTTAAAGAGAAGCCCAGTAACATATAAGAACCTAGTGACCAGGCGAAGATTCCCAGGGGATGCGGCGACCTTTTAGGACATTTCTTGGGAATGCCTGCCTTCAATTCGAACATCGACGAGAACTGCTCGTCGAACGAGTAAACGAAAAGTTCGGCTCGCTTAATTACGGCACGCACTGTGTTGAAAGTTTTGGCAGTAGAAGTAGTTTTCCCAACAGCAAGAGTTTTCCAAAGAAACCCCCACCCCCCACACACACGCACACGTTTAAGTGGAGCCAAGAACATTCTCGTTACTCGTTTCTTGTCGATTGAGAGCCCGAAACCAGCAAAGAAGCCGCAACAACTTGCGAAATGTAAGACCTCGCAGACAGTGCCACCCGTGCCACAGCGGCAGCCCCCTATCTGCCACAAATATGTTGGGTTACGAAATATGCAAATGGCCTGGGGGGGTGGGGGACTCACCTCGAAGGTTGTGAAGACGATTTTCTCGATGGAACCAAAGTAGCGTTCCCACAGGACTTGGGTTTGTTGGCGCAGGGCAAAGATCCTTTCCGCTGATATGGAGCGCACGATATCGGGTACCTGTAATAGAGAGAGACAGAGAGAGAGAGAGAGAGAGAGAGCGTGTGTGAGTACAGAGGTGCGTATGCGTAATGCCAGCTTAATTGATGCATTCATTTGGCAGATGCACAGCCTTAATTGGCCCAAGGACTCAAGCAAAGGGGCGTCGGGGGTGCCATCCATCATAATTATGCCCACCGCAGCACCTGCCACTGCCCGTGCCACAGCCCGTGCCACAGCCCGTGCCACTGCAACCGTTTAAAGAGAGTCCAGAGTGGATTGCTCGGGTTTCCTGCTCAAGTTAACGTAAATTAATTGCATTTCCTGCCAATAAACTACAAAGGCAAACATGCCAATGCATGGGGACATGGCCGAGACAGGAAGTTCGACTGCAGAAAGGATGCGCAGGGACGAGGACGAGGGATGAAGGCTGAAGAGTGGGCAGGCAATTGGCAAACAATGTGCCAAGACTTGGCCGCGACAAAGACGCAGACGTTGAGGCAGTTCCCGGCGAAGGAGAAAGGACACACTGGCAGTGCAAACAGACAGGAAGGAGCAAGGATAAACCAGTCCTTGAACGGACAGGTGTGCTCGGACCCTCGGATACTCGGACTCGGCTCGGCTTTCGCACTCGGAGTGTGCAAAACTGTCCACAACTTAAGCTGGAGGCCTCTTACGGACAGGACCCGGACCCGGACACGGCTTCATTGGCTAGCAAAAGCTTAAAGATCTTCATTGGCCCACTTTGGAGGGCCTTGAAGGATTTCCTTAAAGTATTGCCAGGCAAGGACCTTCCATCGACACGGTAACAGGTGCACAAATCGTTACGAATCCCTGCTGCAGAATATTCATCAATGCCAAATGGCTGGACATTTTGAAGTGTCGCCCCCCCCCCCCCCCCCCCCGCTCGCATCGCCCGTAAAAAACAGGACTTTGTATTTATATGGGGTTCACAGCGCCCTCCACAAATAAACAATGAAAACCTTTGCGCTCTTCTTTTTTTAGACAGAAAGCCAACAAATGAAATCGCTTTCGTCGAATGACTCCGGGTGGCGTGAGGCAGGTGGCAGGGGGCAGGTGGTAAAGGTGCACTTTCAATATTTTATATACGATATAGGGGCCGCCATAACTGAAGTTTACTATATATTGCACGGGAGGGTACACTGGGAGAAATTTGCGCCTCTTTGGGGGGAAAGCTTCTTCGGAAATGCACTGCAAAACCCGCCTAATTTGTGTGTACTGCCCCCCGACTTTCCCTCAGTGTAGAATGCCCGTTTCGTGCCCATTCCCCGTTTCGCTCACCTGCAGCAGGAGCCGCTCATCGGCCCAAATGGCGGCCTGTTTCCAATCGATTTTCGATTCAAAAGGCAACACCCAGGCGTTGGACAATAGCACGGGGATGCAGCCCGCCTGCAGGGCCTCCAGAAATCTGCAAAACAAAAATAACAACAAAAGCATGGCATACAAAAAATGCAATTGTGGAAAATGTTAAATGAAAATTTTGTGTGTGTTTTTTTTCGCTCACCGAAAGGAGCCCAAACGACGGCCGCGCGGCACCAGGCAGAACGTGGAATTTTGCAGCAGAGTCTCGTAGTCGTATCTGGAACGGTAGAGGGCAGAGATGTAGAGATGCAGAGGCCGGACAATGTAAATTAGTTGAGGGCATGACCCCGCATAATGGCACCTCGCGCGGCAGCATTTAATCGGGGAATGGCATAAAGCGAGAGAGAGAACTGCAGAGAACTTATCGGAATAACAATATGTTAATGGCAAAAGCAAAGCCGCTGAAAGGATCTCCCAAGGCTGGGCAAAAGGTGGAAAAAGAGGAAGGATTTTCTTAGGCCACCGCAAGTCCTTGGGTGGAACTAAAGGTGCTTCAAGATTAAAGGTTAAAATCCAAGATTTATTTAACTTTTAAAGCAGCCACAAATTTCGAAACATATTTATGATGCTTTCTATTCAGAATTTTCCATTTCCATTAGCTCTATTTTCCCAAAAATACCATCAATCCCATGGCTTTTGCAGTAAATATTTTAATTAAAATTTCTTCAACGCAAAAACGCAATCAAAAGCCATTTTTCTTAATACATTTTCCTGGAAATTTAATTTCTTTTCTCCTCGCCCACCCTACCCGCATTCGAATCTTTGTAATTGAATCCCATTCAACTCTTTTGCTCTGCTCGGTTTTGCTCTTTGATATTTTGACGAAATTCCCGTGATTCCAGCTTAATGCTCGACGGGGCGTATGCTTAATATTTGCCCCCATTACTCATACGCCATGGTGTCCATTGGCAAGGGTGCTTAGCAGGGCTTTTGCGGGGATTTTAATCTTCAATTCCAGAAATCAAAGCGAACCCTAATGCATCAGTCAGCCATATTACACATACGCCATGTACGCCAAACATTTATACAGGTGGGGCCAGGGGGGGGCAGTGGGCAGTAAGCGAACAGTAGGGACTATTGTTTGGCGTTGTTGGCCAATGGCATGGCCTAACGGCCAGTTTACAAGTTAAGTTGCGCGTAAAATTACATGTAGTTAGGCATGTTCTGGCCCCACCATTCCCACCCCCTACCCCCATCTCCAACCCCAACCAGCAGTTGCTGCCCCACTCCCCCACCCCTATAAAATGGCCTGCAATTTGAGCTCTGGACATTCGCGTTTTGAAAAGCAAAATCAGCAGAAAAATTTATTAGAAAACTGCAGGCGCAGCTTTTTCCACATTGACAACGCACAGGAAGAGAGAGAGAGAGAGAGAGAGGGAGGGAGCAAGGGAGAGCAATTCTGAACTTTTTTTTTGTATAAATAATCTTGAGCAAACAACATAAATTGCATGTTGACTGCTGGTTTCAGACATTTTCGGGCAAAAAGTTGAAAAATTACACTGCCAAATGCATGGGCAGGCCCACAACTCAAAAGAGTTGGCAAATCTCAGGATACACTACAAGAAAAGTGGGAGAGGAAACTGGCAATAAGTTCAAATTTGTGGCCTAGGCCTTTAAGGGCTTATAAATGGCATTGAAGTTTAGTAATTTGTTAATAAATTATGATATACGATATTTATAGAGTTCTCCGGAACTAAAGGTCTCTGAAAGCCTCTATTTGTTGCACCCAATCAAATGTTGGCCCATTAAAACTTTTCAACAAAATATTCTTGATATGAAAGGAAATTTTCGTCCACTTTTCTTTGGATCCTGCGGCTATTTTCGGGATAAAGGGTCATTTGAGTGGGTTTGTTTGCTCCGTTTCCAAATATAAATATGGAATGAAGTGCCACCAAAGTGGGCGTGACCCCATTAATTAGGGGGTAGCAGTAGCAGCCTATACATGTATCCATTTCCATTTCCATTTCCATACATGCAGGTGCATTTGGAGCGAGTCCTTTCCGCAGGTCAGTGCCCTCTCGTGCCTCTCCTGCCGCTCCCTCTCTTAGTGAGTTTTGTTGTTCGCTTAGTTAGCGACTTGTTTAAGCAATTAAGAGCCGCCAACGAGCAATGCTAGTCAGCAGCGCTCTCCCACTGCTGCTTATCCTTCCTCATTCCCTGAACGGCAATTAAATGATTTCAGCTTTCAGCCAAGTTAAGCGAACAGTTGTGTGCTGTTTGGGTTGGCCAACATCATGCGAGCAAAACTTTTGCTATTTACACGCGTTTGTCTGTCAAAAGTTCTTGCCTCCGCCGCGGACATACCCTCTGCCGCGGGCGGAGCGGCATGCGGTACAGCTTCTGCCACTGCTTGCAGCGCTGCTTCAAAATCTGCCACGCCACTTAGTTCTGCGTCCAACCACTTCATTAGCCGTTGGATAGAATGATGCAGGAGATGTGACGTTGATCTCTTAATTAAGCTGCGCTGCTTTTGGTATTTTGCCATGCTGTGACATAGAGAGTAACAGTAGGAAAGCTTTCCTAGGCTTATACTTCTAAAGCCCTGCTGCTCAGCCTCTCTTGATCTTGATCTAAGCAGCGCTGCTTTTACTCGCTTGCTCTGCTGCTAACGCTGACTGCGACATAGAGAGCAACAGAAGGAAAGCTTTCCTAGGCTTATGCTCATACTTCTAAAGCCCCGCTGCTCAGCCTCTCTTGATCTTGATCTAAGCAGCGCTGCTTTTACTCGCTAGCTCTGCTGCGACATTGAGAGTAACAGTAGGAAAGCTTTCCTAGGCTTATACTTCTAAAGCCCTGCTGCTCAGCCTCTCTTGATCTTGATCTAAGCAGCGCTGCTTTTACTCGCTAGCTCTGCTGCTAACGCTCGCTGTGAGCTTCATCGGCGTAAGCATTTCTCTATAAAGCACCGCTGCTCAGCCTCTCTTGATCTTGATTTAAGCAGCGCTGCTTTTACTCGCTTGCTCTGCTGAGACATTGAGAGTAACAGTAGGAAAGCTTTCCTAGGCTAATGCTCATACTTCTAAAGCCCTGCTGCTCAGCCTCTCTTGATCTTGATCTAAGCAGCGCTGCTTTTACTCGCTAGCTCTGCTGCGACATTGAGAGTAACAGTAGGAAAGCTTTCCTAGGCTTATGCTAGCACCGCTGCTCAGCCTCTCCTGATCTTGGTTTAAGCAGCGCTGCTATTATTCGCTTGCTCTGCTGCTAACGCTGACTGCGACATTGAGAGCAACAGAAGGAAAGCTTTCCTAGGCTTATGCTCTTTTTTCTAAAGCAGCGAAGTGCTTCCAGCGCCTTTCCTCGCAAAAGTTTATCAATAACTTTAAATCTGTTATGCATTATTCCATTTATCCACTTGAAACAGACACCTAGCAACAAGTTACAAGTTTCCATCGTTGATGAATACGGTATCAGTTCGCGTGGAATGTTTCCCTGGCAACAAATTCCGCATTGACCCTGCAATTACTTAGTCAGAGTCAGGTCTCACCTGTTGCTTGGTATCAGACAGACAGACAGAGAGAGAGAGAGAGATTTACTGTGAATTGCTTGCGGTGGAGCCTAGGTACGCACAAAATTAACCTAAGAACCAGGGGGTGGAACTTCGGGGCCAATCCTGCTCGCAGCGGGAACATAATTTAAGTGGTTTCCAGCTGTCAAAGGGGCTGTGTGGCCCTTGCTTCCTGCGGTGTATCTTTGTCGCTTTTCCTTTTTAGCTTCTTTCGGTTCCGTTGTTTGTTGTACTCGTAATGGTGACGGCTGTACCGGCGCTGATTGAGTGACTGACAAGCTGGCTGAGTGACAGAGGGACTCTGCCTGGTGCTGTGATTTGGCATTTACTCTCATCATTTGGCTTTTGCCAATGACAGGCCCTCCCCCCTCCACCTCCACCTCCATTCCAGGCACATGGAATGTATTAGTAATCCTGTTGGAGTAGTTTTCGCATATCGGATTCGGATTTTTTTGTTTGTATACCTTGAGACCTGAAAGGGTATGTATAAGAGATACGCAGCGCAACGCCAAAGCAGTTTGTTTTTTTTTTACTTATCGCTTTTATGCTTTGTGCCTTATCATCTTTGCTTTTAGCTTGAAATTTCTATATGCTCACAGTCCTCATCCCCTCATCCCCTCACCCCATTCTCTGGTAGACGCAACATTTAATGAATTGCCAAAAGGGGAACGTGGAGAGCACACTTTGCCTATGGCGGGAATTGCTTGTCAGCTGCAGCAGAATGCAAAATTAATTAAAGAAAGCCAAAAACAGCAAAAATCAACGAACACAGAAAAAAACTTGAAGCCCAGAGGTGGAGGAGAACAGAGGAGAGATGTAGAGGTTTTGGAAGAGAAATGTCAAGCTGGAGCGCAAAAAGTTTTCACTTGACTTTAGTTGAGAACAAAGCTGTCAGAGAGGGAGAGAGAGAGAGAGAGAGCAGCAGCAGCAGTGGGAGATGAGAGGGTAAAAGAAATGTGCGACGCATTTCAATGCAAATTAAATTTTTCAAAACCAGCATTTGAAATAGGGACAATTTGGGATGCATTTCGAGTACGCAGCGAGACCGGAGAGCAACCGTCAGCATAGACAAAACATAAAAGCACACACACAAAAAAGGTATAAAAAGAAACTTCAACCAAGAGAGGGAGGGAGGGCGAGAGAGAGAGAATGCAGCTGTAATAGTTACCATCCGCATTGTTTGCCCTAAGACCAGTGGCAGCGCAGTAGCAGCGCAACAGAAGATAAGAAGGAAGAGCAGAGGCAGAGGCAGAGGCATCGGCATCGCCATCAGCCGCAGCAGCAGTGGGAGAATGAGAAGGCAGAGCAACGGCAGCGCCAGAAGCAGCAGGCGAGAGGCAGAGCAGCGGCAGCGCTAGCGCCAGAAGCAGAGCAGCGGCAGCAAAAGAATATAGAGGAAGAGGAATCCCAAAGCAGCAGCAGAGGGAGTAGCTAGAAGCAGAGCAGCAAATGCAGCAACCGCAGCAGAGAGAGCGCCACGACAAGGGTATACCCTGTATATGTAATCGATGGAGACGGGAGTCGTAAGTGTTCACAAAACCAATATGCCCTCGCACTCGAAGCGTACTGGGTATAAGGTGAATGGGTGTGGGAGAAAGAGAAACATTAAATATGGCGCATTAGTTTCGAGTGCAAAGCTCGCATCCCTCCCTCCTACCCAATTCCCTGAACCATTCTCCGCTCTCATCGTTGTCGTCGCTTGTCGCTTGTCG